GAAATCGGGCAATAACCAGGTCATAAGAGCTAATAATATTAAGGCCCAAGAGTTAATAATATTAAAATCTAAGAATTGGCAAAAAATTAGGAACTTGAACTTGGGCAACGACCGGGTCCTAAGAGTTGATATAATTTAAAAGCCAATTTAGGATTTAAGAATTAGCAAAAAATTAGGAACTCAAACCTGAACAATGATCAGGTCCTAAGAGCTAATATAATTTAGGCATAAGAAATAACAAAATATTAGAATTTCGAACCTAGGCAATGACTAGGTTCTAAAAGCTAATATAATTTAGATCTAAGAATTAGCAAAATATTAGAATCTCAAACCCAAGCAATGACCGGGTTCTAAGATTTAATAATGTTAAGGTCTAAGAATTAATAATATTAAGGCCTAAGAATTAGCAAAAAATTAGAAACTCAAACCCGGTCAAAGACCGGGTCTTAAGAGCTAGTAAACTTCAATTATTTCTTCAAAATTCTCATAATTCGGTTATTCTTGTGCTCAGATTGAAATTTAAAAGCGATTACGTGCTTGATTTTGGTGGCGATATTAGGTTCGTTTAATAATTTGACTAAGCTGACGTTTAAAGATCTGCTTAGTCGGATTCACCTAAATCGAATGCCTGTTGGTCTGGACAGAAGCGGAGGATTCCCTATGGTATTTTATATAATGTGTGATATACAGCCCGCTCTTTCATTGACCAACAAAGACTTTGATATATCCACGTGATAATCAGCAATTAAATTACATTCTTAACAATTAGTACAATACAATAGCTCCAGACATACATTTATCTAGTGTGTAGCAAAATTGCCTGTTGTTATTTGATTGTTTATTTGTTTAAATTTCCTATATAAGTTTTTGGATTTTACTTATAATTATTTTTATTTGATTTTATATGCATTAACATAGGGGTTAATCAACGACAATCCACGTTACAATTAGTACAGTCAATTACTTGGCTGCATAATTTATGATATTTACAAAGTAAAAATTACCTAAGAGGTTAAATTTCTTATCAGAATTTATGACATTAATTTTTTGTTAGTATAAATTTCTTCAGGACAATTATACAATATTATTATTATTATTATTATTGTTGTTGTTGTTTTATTAATTCATTAACTCAATCACTGTTTATATTTTCCTTGGAAGTTGGCCTTTTTTTCTGGCTGAGCATCCCAACTCTTAGTAATCAATTTAAAATTTTCTTTGGGCACATTGTCAGATTACTTGGACGTAAACCACCATGAAGAATGGTCAAATCTAGTTTTAAAAAAAAAAACAAAAAAGGCGTGAAAACGTCATATGTATGTACGTACATACAATGGAAAGAAAATCTGCGCTCACATCCTTATCGTGCCCAATAAATCATCCAATTAGGGATAATATTTAGTGGAGTAACCTTTAAATTTCAATATCCAACACTTCGGATATTTACATAACATTCCATTTCTGATACGCACATATATATTCAATCAAAGATCTTTCGGACTTACGTACTATTTTGTTACTATATTGGGAAGTTAACTACAATAGAATTTGATCCTTTATTGAAGTCAATATCTTTGCTTTTACATTATATTTCATGTAAATAAAGCTATCATTAAAACGATTCAGTAAATATTATTGGGATTTACCTGTTAAAATATAAATGCGTTAATATATCTAAGTATGATTTAATAATTAACTTCCTATTTCAATATTTGTAGAAAGCAAGGTAGTTTGAAATTACAATATAGTTTAACGCTCTCTTTCCCTCCTCTATTTCAATGAGCAAAAATAATATGATTATTTTTTTTAATATAATATAATTTTTTATATTGACTCTTTCCCCACTATGTTTAAATTCAAAAAAAAAAAGTTAAACAAATTATAACTTCTAACAGCCTTGTAAGATAAATATGATAAAAATATAATAAGAAAAAACAATAATAAGAAAATAATAATAATAATAATAAAAATAATGATTTAATTAATAGTCGCGCGGAATAATTGAAGTATCAACATAAAGATATATTAGGAATATAAATAGAAACTCAATCTTAACCACCATTAAAGAATACCGTACAAAACAAAGTATTGAGACTATTATTTTTATTGCTAGGTTGACAAGGTGAAATGTCAAAATATTCAAGAGTAGAATTAAGATAACCAGATTCATTTAAAACTTTGTTCTTAAAACAAATCCTCAGATAAACTTTATATTCACAAGTACTGTATAAGCTTGATTGCCTACCCTCACAGATGCCTGCTCTTTCAAAAATGGCTTGTTCCAAACTACTAACTTTATCTCCTGAAGAAGCAGGTATTTCAATTACACGAGTTGGAAGAATGACTTTTATTGTTTCTTCTTTTAGAATAGGTTGTGTAGAAGATATGGTATGAAGTCCGTCATTAAATTTGTTAGTTCTTTGAGGAACTTTGTTTTTTTATTAAATGAAAGATATCACCAGAGCTGATGTTTAAATCTCTAATTTTTTTAAAGTTATCCAAGATTACATATTTATAGAGAATAGTTTGTTCATCAATCTCAATCTCATAATTTTCTCTAATATATTCTTTTACATCAGCAATTTTATCGTCACGACTAACTTGAATAGTTCCAGTCCAATTAAAACCTTTAATTATAATTCCTATATTGTCATTATTATTACTCTCGTCACTGGGAGAGGGAAAATGATCATATATGTTATCAACATTTTCACTATCTCTTAAGAGCTGGTTTATAAATTTCAAACATTTTGGATTATTTGTTTTATCAACTAAATTCCAGAATGATAGTCGTTTCCAGAATTTCTCAAATTCCTTTGTATTTAAAGAAGGATGTGTCAAGTTGATTTTTATGTTTGATGAATTAATTAAATTAAATTTTTAAGAAATTTTAGAGAGTATATTTATACTTGTGGTATAAAATGAGCTTTATAATAATTACATAACAAATAAAGAATTCCATAATTTCAATAAAGATAGTATGTATTATTACTATAAAAATTCCTCGCTTATTGAAAAATAATGGGATGACTCAGCTGATCAATTTGTGCAAACGATTAGAAAGTGTAAACTACAGCTAATGAAAATTAATTAAAAATTTTATTTACAAAACTTGATAAGATGAAATTTGAAAGAGCTGATTGATTAAATGAGGTATCTTTTTTTTTCCTTATTCGACGTGTCATTTAAAACAAATACAAACTTTATTTACAAAAAAAGACTGATAAAATGAAGTCTAAAAAAATTGATTGATAAAATGAGATATCTATTTTTATTCCTTATGAGCTTTAATTATTTACATAATTAATTGATAAGACAAAGTCTAAAAGAAATGTTTGATAAAATGTACATTTTTTTTCCTTATTTGACGTGTCATTTAAAATCTGTGCATACTTCAAAATTATAGCCTAATAAGCATTAATTAAAATTTTAATTTACAAAAAATGTCTAGTTTAAAAGAATTGATTGATAAAATGAAGCATTTTTTTTTTATTCCTTATATCCTAATAAGCATTAATTAAAATTTTTATTTACAAAGAATTGACTGATAAGATGAAATATAAAAGAACTGATTGATAAAAGGAAGCATCTTTTATCATTATTATTATTTATTTATTTGACGCGTCATTCAAAATCTGTATGAATTTTAAGATTATAGCTTAATAAAAGTCTGGCAAAATGAAGTTTAAAAGAATTAATTGTTAGAATAAGAGTTTTTTTTTGTACGAATTTTTTGTCGACAAATATTGTCGCGATTATCATGAAATCGGATAATTAATGCATCTGATTGGTTAATGCTAGGTGATTAGCCAATAGGAGCTTTAAATTTCATGATCATTCGAATTTCACGATCATCTGCGACAAATATTTGAAAACTACTAAAACTGCTGATTTCTAATCATAATTGATATTGTAAATTTATAAAAATAAAGAGTAAAAAGTAGTTGTCGCGTTAATTCAAGCTATGATTATAATCCATATTAACTCCTAAATAAATCTTAATGTTTGGTTTATAAATTAAAAGTGTCACAACAAATGTTTATCAAAATAAAAGTGTCACAACAAATGTTTATTAAAATAAATAAGGGGGCTAAGGTTAACAATTAGGTGGCCGGATTTTGTATTGCCGGTAATTTCTAAATTAAGGTTAGATTTTCATAT